TTTGTTTTGATTATCTCTTTAAATATAATGGGAGCGGAGCACCATCACCGCTCTGAGGGTGCGCAAGCAGTTCCTGAAAATTAAAATGCAGAAGTGAGTGGGAAAGGGCAAAGGGAGCAAAAGGGGGGGAGGAAATGGGGAGGGGGAAGGACCAAAGGAAGGAGGCTCTGCAGGTGGGGGACGGACAGGGCGGTCGGACAGGGAGAGGGATGGCAGGGCCCAGGCCTGGAAGGGATTAGGAGAAATAACGAGCGGGGTGCCGCTCTGGATGGCTGGGGCAGGAGGAGAGCTGCGGACCCCATTTCTTTCCCTCCACAGCTTGCTCAAGGGTGGTGAGAGACTCTCTGATGAACGAGAGGCTTTCTTGCATCCACGTTACCCTGCTGGGCCTGGAGATGAAAGTGTAAACCCAAAAGCAGTGGTAGAAAAGTAAAGGTGCCATAAATTTAGACCTTTTGGAACCAGAGGATACCAAGGCACCCACGCAGTGCTGTGGGACCGGGGAGGATGTCGTGGCCCGGAGCGGGGCTGGGGAGGGCCATCAGGGGTGGGTACCATGGGGAGAGCAGCACCGTGGTACCATGTTGCTGCATGGCGAAGGCTGCTGTCCCTGAGGCCTGTCTGGGGGGTACCAGCCACGCATACACCCCCTGTAAAACTTTCTAGATCCCAGGCCTCATTTTCACTGATCTGTATCTTCCCCTGATCCTCTCCTGGACTGGAAAGTGTCCTCTTCTCCACGATGCACCATGTACACACTGCAGTATGCTCAGAGAGACTCTCGGATAAGGACACGTGGTCGTTTGTACCCCATGGTGAAATGGTGAGAGAAAAGCAGAAACAACTTAAAAGATAAAGGCCTTTCAGGGGGCACGGAGTGCAGACATACCGTGTAATACAAAAATACCTGATCACTCTTAACTGTGAAAATGTCACCAGGTCAGCACTGGTTCCCCCTCAGCAGTGCTCCCGAAGCTGGCTTCCCCCTGACCACCAGGATATCAATGCGGAGCGTCCCCCACATCAATGTGAACAAGGCCATCTTCCAGCATGGCCTGAAAACCAAATGAGAAACAAGGGTGCTGAGGTGGCTGCCCAGGAGGGGGTTGCCCCTGCCAACATGGAGGTTCTCCTGTGACTGTGTTACACAGGTGTGAGGATACCTGGTCTTGATGAGGGGTGGACTCCCTCTGCAGCTGGAGGCTGCGTTTGTTCCTGGAGTCAGAACTGCCGATGCCCCGCTCCAATAGACTCCTCCCTCAGAAGCACCCAAAGCCACCAGCATCCCCATTTCTCATGCCAAGTAATGGTTCAGAGAGAGCACTCACCTGCTCATCATGCTTCTCGCTGAGCCACTAGCCCTCGTGGAAGTCAAGCGGGAGTCCCAAATAGCATCCCTCATGTCTTTTCCTGTTTGCAGTGGGTACTGAACACAGCATCACATTTGGTGTCTCCAGCGACGACTCCATCACATGTTGCATACGGGTCAAGGAGGCACTTCTCTGTGCTTCTTCCTTGAGCACGAGTTGCCGTAATTTTGCCTGTGCCACAGGCTACCGAGCACCTGTTTCAGAATAGCTTTGCAAAGTTGTTGTGCACCCTGCCCATGGGGAAGAAGGGCACAGATGTCCTCCCAGGAGGAGGTGGCACCCACTTGCCACGAGGGCTCCATCTTCTGCCCTGGCCATGATGTTTGGAAGAAGGGACCTGTTCACAGGCCCTGGCACGTGGTGTGAGAGTATATAAGATGGGTGACACTGTGTGGGACATGTATTCACAGAGCTGCAGTGGTCTCCACAGGTGTAAGTCGTCCAGACAAGACAGGATGTCCTCCCAGGAGGAGGTGGCACCCACTTGCCACGAGGGCTCCATCTTCTGCCCTGGCCATGATGTTTGGAAGAAGGGACCTGTTCACAGGCCCTGGCACGTGGTGTGAGAGTATATAAGATGGGTGACACTGTGTGGGACATGTATTCACAGAGCTGCAGTGGTCTCCACAGGTGTAAGTCGTCCAGACAAGACAGGCACACTACAATGCTTTAGATGCTAGAAGTCCAAGGCACAGATAATGTGGGCAGACGATTTTGGCGTAATTTTGCCTGTGCCACAGGCTACCGAGCACCTGTTTCAGAATAGCTTTGCAAAGTTGTTGTGCACCCTGCCCATGGGGAAGAAGGGCACAGATGTCCTCCCAGGAGGAGGTGGCACCCACTTGCCACGAGGGCTCCATCTTCTGCCCTGGCCATGATGTTTGGAAGAAGGGACCTGTTCACAGGCCCTGGCACGTGGTGTGAGAGTATATAAGATGGGTGACACTGTGTGGGACATGTATTCACAGAGCTGCAGTGGTCTCCACAGGTGTAAGTCGTCCAGACAAGACAGGCACACTACAATGCTTTAGATGCTAGAAGAAGTCCAAGGCACAGATAATGTGGGCAGTCAGGATTTTGGCCTGAGGGGGCTGATGGGAACATTTAAGGGACAGTGTACTCGGTCAATATTATTTACTGCTTTTAGCGTATCGGCTTCAATTTGTCTTCAACAACTGCCTCGATGGCCAGAGTACCAAGTTCAGTGAGGCTCTGAGGCTGGAACTGTTCCTGAACAAAACCGTTGACAGCCGCTGGGACCTGGCTGCGTGCTTCATCGCGCTCCCTGCCGTAGACGTTACTTTGAAGGCCTTGTAGATGAAGAGTAGATGTGGGAAAGCAGCAAGAGCAGCGTGCCCCATGAGGGAAGGCAAGCTGGGAGCTGTGGGCAACCACAGGTGGGGCGCAGTCCCATGGCCCCGATGCAGATGATGGCACAAAGTCCCACTGCCCCGATGTGGATGATGGGGCGCAGTCCTATGGCCCCAGGCGGGTGGGCAGAGCAGGGTGGTGACAGCCACAGCTCCATCGCCAGCGCAGCTGTCCCCAGACAAAGGTCAGTATTGAGTGAGGCCTGAGGCCGCCCGGGAAGTCTTGCAAGGGCCTGGGAGCCACGAGGGACAGGACACCCCCTGCCTCTGCTGTACCCCCAGAAGGTCTGGGCCAAAATGGAGCTCCTGTGCCACAGGCAGGGGCCGGGGGCAGGCCCAGGGGCGGCTCAGGGTGGCTTGGGCTGACTGGAGCCGGCAGGACCCAGTGATGGCTTGCCCTCCCCTCAGGCGGCAGTCCCTCAGGGGCCCGGCCCCGGCCCCGCCGCCGGGAGGCCCGCTCCCCTCAGGGCGTGCAGGGCCTGCACTCCCCATCCCACAGGGGACGTGCCCCGGCTCCTGGCTGGCTGCTTGGGCGATGTGAGCCCTGGGGCGCCGTCCCTCAAAGGGACGCGGGTGGCTTTCAGAGGGTGAAAGACTGCAAAGCCCCCAAGAGCCAAGTGGTCCTACCTGATGGCGGCGCAAAGGTACACAGTGCCCTCGTCCCCGGCCAGCAGGGTCTGCGGCATGGCAAGGGATGCAGAACCAGGGGAGAGGGAAGATTTTGGTGGCGAGGGCTCCTCGTTCGCTATTCCCCAGAGCTGGGTGTCAGGGGACTCGGCAGGCTGGTAGGGCTCAAAGCGTAGCCATTTCCCTCTATTACTGAAGTTTTTTTATCTGTGAGTTATTATTCCCTTGGCACCAACAGTGGACTTAGCGCTATACATGGTACAAAGAAAAGACAGGGCCGGTGCCAAACTGCTCATTATTTAAAATGCAGATTTATTTTTTTTTCCTCAAAGTGAATCAGTACAGAGAAGACCGGTACAAAAAAAATAGTGTGAGCCCACAGAGGAGAGGCAAGGCTTTATTTAACCCAGTAATGCATCCAGGATCTCCAGATACCACTGAAGAAATGAAGCATTAGTAGATATTAGATGGGGAAAAATAGGGCCTCGTGAGTCCCGGCTTGGACGAGTTTCATTCCCCGTGTACGGAAAAGAAGAGGGGAGCGGGGGCTGCTGATGCTCTGATGGCAGGTCTTCACGGGTGAGGGGCTCACAGACCCTCCCGCGGGACAGTTTCCCGCCGAGGATCGGGGAACCTCAGAAATCGTGGGCCTGCACGGTGTGCAGGGCTGTCCCAGCCCTGTTTCCTAATTTCTGAATGCTTCATTGGTATCGTTTCTGTCTGTTGTGCTTAGCTATTTCGGTGCAGCGCGTACCTCGTTTAAGCTTACTACATTTCCTGGCCTGCTGCTGCTCTTCATCATGATTATACCGGGCATGTCATTTCAGTGTTTCAGAAGAAAGAAATTGTTAATGTAATAATTAGGGATGTAAATTACACCTGATTTGTGCCTGGCCTGTTCGGATATCAACCATGTTTTAGTTCTGGATTAATCAAGTCATAAT